GTCTTTCTGCAGAGCCGAGCGAGCCCGCGAGCGCCTGCAGTGGCGCGTGCTCGGCCTCCAGAGGCGACAGTCTCTAACTTTCCCGCTCCAGCCAGCCAGCGCGGCCCACGCCGGCCCTGCTCGCGCCCAAACTTGCCCGCCGCGCTACTTCCACTCTAACTGGCGGCGCCAAGGCCTCGTGCGGGCACGGCAGCGTGGTGCCCACGCGCCTGAGGCCCTGGCCTGCCCGCCCGATCATCCCTATCATAGGGCCCAGTTACGGAAGGGGAAACGGGGCGCCCCGGGAGCACCCCGAGAGAGGGCGGAGCGCTCCCGCGCCCCGGGGCAGGGAGCTCCCGCGCCCGGAACGTTGCGAGCAAGGCTTGCGAGCGTCGCAGGGGGGCACTCGCGAGAGACGGACAGGAAGAGGGCCAGGGGGGACGCCAGAACCCGGGACCACAGCACGGAAACGGCCCCGGGGCTGAGCTGCAGTCAGATCCGGGGATGGAGGGAGCCGGAGAAGAGGAGTGAGGAGGCCGGGAAGCTGGCCCCGCTGCCCTCTTGGAGGCCGCTGCCCGGTGGCAGTCAAGGACTAGGCCGCCCAGAACAGGGGAAGGGGTCAGGAGGTCGGGCCCGGGCCTTAGCAGGCCCAGACAAGGCCCCAGAAGGGGGCAGCAGGTGCCTTGCAGATCAAGGCCCAGGCCTGGCTCGGGGTGCACAAGGGGCACTAGGCCAGGCCTCTCTCTGGTAGGGAAACTGAGTCAGGGCCGGGCCTGAGGGCACGGCCTAGACCCTTCAGAGCCAAGTTAGGGCTTGGGAGCAAAGCCCTTCGGGGGTCTCAGCTCCTAAGGAGGGTAGGGGGCTTCAGGGCCTCCCCCTCCTCAGTCGGATTGGCGAGTTAGACGCTTGTAGATCCAAGGTTGGATTGGGGTGGGGGTTCTGGCCCATTGGCTCGCTTCGCAAGGATTGGGGGGATTTAAGTGCTTAGAGATCGAAGTCAGGTCTTGGGTAGGGGGACTTAGGCCATTGGCAAGCCTAGGTGGTTATTTGGGGAGGGGTCTTTGCGCCTCCGCGAAGCGCAAAGCTGCGCCTGTTGGCCTGGAGGCCTGAGGCCTTGTCAAGAGGCTTCGTGAAGGGTGGGCCGTCTAGGCCACGCGAAAGACTGTGATTCAATCAGGCTTCTCAGTGGTTGGGGGGGGCCCCTGCCAGGGGGGTCACAAAGGGTGAGACATGGCCACCAGGCGTTTAACCGACGCTTTCTTGTTGTTGCGGAATAATTCCATCCAAAACCGGCAGCTGTTAGCCGAGCAAGTGAGTAGTCACACCACCTCCAGCCCTCTGCATTCACGTAGCATTGCTGCGGTGAGTCTCCCGGCGCCCTCCGACACACGCCCCGTGTGCACTGCGGCTGTCTGTCTGTCTGTCTCTGTCTGTCTCTCTGTTTTAAAACAAAAAAGAAAGAAAGAAAAAGAAGACTACGAAGGAAATGCCAGGCGTCTTAGCTCGGGTCTGGGGGCGTCTATAAGCCTAGATGGGGGAAACCCCCGCAGTCGAAGTCGCGCTCCGCCTGGGCCTGGCGCGCTCCGCACTTCCGCTGCCCTCCCCTCACCCCACCCCCGCCGTCACCGCGCGCCGGGCCGCCTCCAATTTACATATGTTTGAGCCCCGAGATTTGGAAGGCTGGGGCTGCTCCGAGGCCCCGGCTTTTTGTTTTCAGCCCCCTCCCCCATTGGGGCCTCGCTGGGTCCTTACCCTTTGTGGGGGAGCCACTCTCCCCGACCCCAGGAAGGAGTTGTTTGGGTTGGTTTTCTTGTCGCCCCCAACCTTGTTCTTTTGAACGCTTCGTAGTTCTCGCTCTTGCTCCCTATGAATAATTGCTTCACTGTTTTTCCTGGGGGCTCATGTTTGTGAAACAGTAAGGTGCTAGGCCTTTAGGTTTTCCATTTCCCAGACAGGAAATTAAGCTTTCCTCTCCCTTCGAACTTTTTCATTTATTTTTAAACCAGGACTGTATGTGAAAATTAACCCCCCCTCCCCAATAGTACATTTTTTTAAATTTAATTAACCTGAACCATTAGCCCAGTAGTACCCTCATTTTAGGAGTTTGTGGAAAGAATCCTTTTTTCTTTTTCTTTTTTTCGGTTTGGAGAGTTGCTTTTCCTTTTCCAGCCTCAATTTTCTCTGTAGCGTTTGAGGGTGGGTCTGGGTGATAACTGGAAGACAATGGCTGTTAGCTCTCCTACATAGTCCATTGAAAGTGAAGTCCTGAAGTCGGGAGGCCAGTTGTAGGGGGGAGCCAGGCTAGGTTTGAATAGAAGCAGTTTTGGGGTTGAAGGAACAAACTCATTCTGAGACCAGATCCTGTACTAGAATTAGACGAGAGAATCTCACACTTATTCTTTCTCAGAGACTGTATTGCCTGAAATATATATATGTATATATATATTTTTTCTTCTTTTTGCTTTGATCGAAATGCTTCAGAAAAATTATGTCGTGTATCTCAATTATGAACAGAATGCCGCTACAGCCTTTTTATAAGTGACAAGTGGAAAAATGGCTTTGACCGTATAACTGGTTTAGAAAAGATGTTTTAAGCCGCATGGCCAGTTGTAGGAATAAAATCAAGTAAACTCTGGTTAAAAAGCAAAGAAAATGGAAACAGCGAGTGTTTGGGTTTTCGGTTACTTAAGGTTTTGAAGGCTTCATACGTTTAGAATCGGAAAGAAACGTTGTGTTACTGAAAAAAGTGGGAAGGTGTCTGCCAAGCGCCAAATCGGCTCCTTCGAAGCGCTGTCTTGAGAAGGCTGTTTTGAAATAAGCCAGGAAATAAGGGTGGAAACTGAGGGAATAAAATTCCTCAATGGAACTGTAGATTTGTTAAGTAAGCCAGGACTGCATGTTTTCTTAAAAGGCTTAATCTTAGGATACCACATGGGAAAATTCCAAGGAAATTTGCATTGTGTTTCTAGGAGTGACTGAAAAGATAAGGTTTGCTTTACACTTTTTAATCATCTAAGGTCCCAAACGCACCCTAGATCTTTGGGTAACATGAAACTTGCTTGTGTTTGCTTTTTTGAAATCAGTAACTCGGACAGTTGAAAAGCCGGGTGCTTGAGTCAGACAGCTTTTTAATAGCGCAACTCAAATTAAGCTACTGTTTCAAGTGTTTATTTACTAAGTTAGGCAACTTAAGTACCCTCAGTCCAAGAAGTAAAAATGGATTGCTAAATTCGACAGTTTAGAAAAAGCTATATATGTATATATGTACCAATAAATTTAGCTATTTCAAACAGTTGCTCCCAATCAAGCCATTTAAAAATAGATGTCTGTTTAAATCAGAACATTAAGACATATTTTCTATGAAAGTCATACTCTTTATATATTACATATTTTTACTAGTCTGACTTTAAAATCATTCTCAGATCATTAAAAGCAATCTGATCCTTTAAGATATCCTTGTAACCAGTTCAGACCACCTAAAAAATAGACTTTGCCATCAAACAAAGAATTTACCTAGGCTAGAATTTAAAAAGAAAACACACATTTATACATCTTAATTGTGCACATTAAACACCTGGCAAGAAAACCATATAGCTGCTGCAGTATTCCAGCGTGAATTACATCTGTTTGCTTACAAGTGGCTGCACAGAAACAGCTTCTGCATGTGTGCCGTGCGGGTGTGAACATGCATCCAGACACACACACTCAAGTATGAATAGCTCTCAACAGACTAGAAGGGTATCATTTTCCCAACTCCTCTGGAAGTTGGAAAAGTTTTATAATAAACATTTTTTGGGAAAAAGCCCCATCTGACAGGCAATTTGCAGGCATGTTTTGAAAAACTGATGCAGTATTTTTGACTGCATTTAAAAATTATTTAAATCTCATTTCCAACTTAGAAATTTCAGAAAATCATATGTCAAATCAAACAAAACGTTATTTGCCAAATGTGAATGTGGGCTGGGCATTAAATAGTAAGCAATGGCTGATAACACTGATTGTAAGTTAAGTCAGTTGTTAATTTTCAAGAAGGCCTACTAAAATATTTAGGGATGAAATGTCACATAGCTATAACTTGTTTTAAATACTTAAATCCCCTCTCAAAACTGAAGAAGCAATTAAGACAAAATATTAATAGTTGTTGAGTTCAGGCTCAAGATGGATATGTGTAAAGTAATGACATCATTTTCATTTTTTGTATGTTTGAAAAATTGTGAACAAAAATTTGAAAGAAATGTGTATATTAAAAACGAGCAGAATAATTAAAGAGAGCAATTTATAAATATATTTCTAAAACTCAGATAATTAAAAGGGAAATAACTAAACCTGAAAGCTTAACAATTGAAAACCCATCACCTGGTTTTTTTGATGTTCCTAGTTAATAGGAAAAGCTATAGAAATTGATTGACCTGTGAGTGTGTTTTTGTTCTCTCACGCACAACTTAAAGCAAATCACAACTACAAAATTGGAACCTGAATTTTGACATCCTTATTTGAGGAAAAAACTGTGTGTGTTTAATATTTCATACACTGCCTAAAACTCAGCATACCTAAAGCCGTGACGCTTACAACATTTAAACCTGTATCGTTTTTCACATCCTGTTTTAAGGAAGAATCTGGAAGTTGGCTGGGGGTGGATTGGTGTGTGCACTTGCACACACTCACACACACACACACTTAAGACAGGCAAGAGTAGCAACACCTTGGCAGTTGTTCCAGTCCTGGGTACAGCGGCAGAGCAGAAGGGATTGAAGACCACCAGGTTCGGTGTCACTCTGTGGTCTCACTGCCATCTGTGATGATGTTGTTGTTGTTGTTAAGTGCCCTCAAGTCAGTTTCAATTCAGCCACTTTGTATAAGATTTCCAAGCAGCGACTGGTGGGTTTGAACCGCAAACATTGTGGTTAGCAGTCTAGTGCTTATCCTACAACGCTACTGTGAGAGAGATAGGAAATTCCAAAGTCTTTGTGTGAACCCCAAATCTGTCTGTCTGCTACCTCTGTGGCCCCAATTCTCCATCTGTTTCCCAGGGTCTTTGACACAGGAACCCCCCCCCCCCCCCACGCATGATGACCCCTTGGTCTTCCTGTCCCTGAAGTCTTTCCTGAGCCCATGGCCCCCAGTCCCTTCCCCAGAGATATGATGTCTGGTGTTCATCCCTTTTAAAAGTCAGCCGGCAACCGAAGGCTGTTCTACTTGGCAGTGTTCTTCATCGTGCTCCTGTTGGAGGCACTCTGGTCTCACCTGTTTTCTGAGCCCGTCAGGTTCTTGCCTCAGGGCAGCATGGGATGAAGGAAGGAGTTAGGTCCCACCTGTAGCTCTTGAATCCCTCTGGAAGGGGATTCTTTCTGCCTCATTTGAAAATCAAGAGATTCAGATTAGCTAGTTTCTAGCAGCTCTCAGTGCAACAGTGGTTTCCCAAGTTTTGTTTCAGTGCATAACTTCTCCTGACCGAGGCCTCTACTAGCCGGCTCTGTTGTGGCTGTTAGTCAGCTGCCCTGCTCAAAACTCCTTCCACATAGCCCGACTTCTGTGCAAGTGTCTTTGACATTGTATTGGCCAAGTGCAGGTTGAAAGCAGTACCTGGTTGAAACCGTTGTATACATCCTGGCTTTGGGAAGCTGATGTGAACTGACCAAGTTAAACCATCATTCAAAGACTGGTGGAAAGTCTCTCAGGAGCGTAAAGCAGATGTTCAGTTCTGATGCCATGAGTTGAGGTCTGACTGACGTCCTGTGAATCTCCTGGGGTGGATTTCAGAGTAGGAGTTGGAGCCACTTTGTTGGCGTCACCAGCCTGGTCTATATACGCTGCTTTAAAATCATGCAGGGTCTATCAGTGGAAGCTAGAGTTAATTGGTCTTAGATGAGTTTGAAATTAGCACATGATTTTTAATAAAGCATGGTTTGCTTAAGGAGGAAAAAAAATGGGAACTTAAGGATAAGCTATTGCTCTAAGCAACCTGAGGCCGTTGTGCAGTCTGGACCATGACATTAGCTAGGATTTATTGAGAGCCTACTATGTACCTGGCACGGGACTGAGCCAGCCCCTTTCCATGCAGAGCCTGCTGTTTTTAATCATGATGCAGTTAAGGAATGTGGAGCACGAGGAGTGTGGACTGGAGCCAGGTGGACCTGATCCCCCAGCCCTGTGGTAGCCCACTGGGGCCGTACGGCGGGTGATGAGTGCATTTCCAGGACTGCTACTATAGGTCCTAGAAAATGGCAGAATCTAGTGTTTAAAAAACGTCTTACCCCTTTGCAATATGACAGCTTGTTTCTGGGTCTCATGTTACCACCTTGCACAGTTTGAACGTGCATGTGGAAGGGTCTGCATTTTTAGCCCTGGCGTAGTCTTTGGGAAAATCAGTGCTCTGTCTTTGGAGTCCAAGTATGAAATCATTGTATATTTCTCCTTAGATCTGTTTGCTTGTCTGCTTCTAAAGATCCCATTTGAGCAGTGAGGCTTTACCAGAGAATAAGGGTCCTCTGTTGGATAAAAGTGAAGCAGACTTGTGTTTTTGGCAGTGACGGAAATAAAGTAAACACCACTATAGCATAAGACCTGTGTTTCCACCTCATTTTGCTCAACTTTTCCAGACTCCCTGAGTAAACACAGATGGGGTTCCACTGAATTTCTCCGTTTTTATGTAGAAAGTTCTTAAGGCCATAAATTCCACAAGCTCCTTGGAGTTTTCAATATTTGCTTGATTGCATGCCGTTGGCAGGTCAGAACAGTCGATTTAGACATTATAAGATTTAGAAGGTGACGATGTGTAGTAACGTGTTTTCATTTGGCTGCATTTTGGTCTTTCTTGGTGGTAGTTCTAAATGTTAATTCAGGTCCTGAGTAAATGTTCTGGTGGTTTCATGGCAGAGGGCATGTAGAAAGCCTTCTACTTTTAAGTAGCAAAATGGAGAATTCTTTGGAAAGATGACCTACTGAATTTCATTTCTGATATGGTGGAGATAGCAGCAGCTGCCCATCAGAAGTGATTCCTGGATTTTCTCGTGGTAGTAGGGAGCTTGAGGGTGGAATGCGCCCAGGGCCCTACACCTCGGTCAGTTCCCATCTGCCTCTGTCAGGCTCCTTGACTTTGAGCCACACGTTGGTACTTTCTGAACCTTACTTTTCTTCTTTGTGTGCTTTGTTTTTTAAAAAAGATTCTTTTCTAGCCCTAGAATCCCATGATTCTAAGTTCATCTCTTACTAGCTGCCCATCCGAAAGGTCAGCATGTGTGCCAAGCTCCCGGGGAACAAGGTTTTAGCCTGGGCTCACAGTCTGACTTTGTTCAAAAATGCAATGCCCTGGAGCCCCCGCAGCCCGGGAGGAAGACGACAGATGGAGCTCCTGAAGCTAGGGGGCTTGCCTTGCATCTGTTTCCTAAGAAAAGAAGTTTGTACTCTCCTGCTGAAAAGAGCAAGCTCTGTAAAACCTAAAACATTTTCTTTTTAAGAGTAAAAGGTGATTAGATCAGATTTCCACTCACCACCATCTTCCTTTTCCTATCTCCTAGCCTTATTCTGTGTGGATGGGTAATAGAACTCTGTTGCTCCAGGAGCAAATTGTAGAACGATTGAGCAGGATCTTCCGCCTTCTAGCATGTGGAGGAATGATGTTTGATTACATTTTTATTGCTGTCATTGTTTAATTATATTTTGGCTCTGATAGACCAGTTTCATTTGCATCATTAATTTTTAAATAGGGAAGTTATGGTATTTGTTTTCTAAATTTACTGCCAATTATAAAAGAGGGGGAAAATTCAACAGGGTTGAATCTTGAAATTCGCCACTAATCTTTTCAGTGATCAATGCTGTCAAATAAAAGACCTGGTTGTTTAGATTATCTATGGCTAGGACATGTCTGTGCAGAAGATAGAGTTCCACCTAGATCGAAACAAAATGTTTCGTTTTAAATTGAAGCTGAATCCTCAAGTTTCAGGACTTTTTCCTCTCTCCTGCCTTTTTAAAAAAAAGCAAACAAATCCTTTTGTTTGTTTGCTTGCTTTAATAATAGCTTTGCAAATCACTGTGTGCTTCCTAGACTAGTAATACTACTAAATGCCCAGCAAAATGGTATGAGGTTTCCTTTCATTTCCACACCTGTGTCTCTTCTCCCGGGAAGCAAGGCTCCTGGGCTCTTGTATTACCACTGATAAAACCCGGGTCTGCAGGATTTCATTATACGGCCTTATATATGCAACCATTCCACTATTACCTGAAGACAGTTTTTGTGGACTGTTCATTTTTAAAATTGTGTTGCATTTATAGGGCTGACTTACGTGGTAAAGTAGACATTTATTTGACACGGGAAAATGACATTTTAGCTGTGCTCTTTTATCTTCCTACAGGAAATTTAGACTCTTGTGTTGAATGTGCTATTTGATGTTTATGAAGTGGGTGAACATATTTTCATGAAACTAAAGCAAGTGGGTTTTGTGTGTCTTTCTTGTACCTGAATTCTTCTCCTCTGTATTGGGTGTCTCCTGTCTCCCAGGTCAAAACCACAGGAAATAAAAACAAAAACATATATGCAACTTGTGGTGGTGGTGGTGGTGTGTTTTGTTGTTGTTTGTTTTTAAATGAAAAATCAAGAGGGAAATTTTTTAAATGCTTACTTTTTAGTCAATTAAGAGAGTTTAATTCTCCTAGTTTTCTGAACTGACCATACCGTATCTGTCTGTCTGTTCCCATCCTTTTCTTTCTGCTGTCCCTTAACTGGATGGGGTTGATGGAACAACATCTGTCTTCAGGAGCTGGATGAGGTATGGTGTGTTGAATATTTCTGTCTATTAACTCATTTTAGCTGATAAAATTACACCTGCTTTTCTGAAGTCTTTGCCCCTGTCTCAGGGGTGGGGAACTTTTTTTCTGCCAAGATTTATGACATCATTCGCGGGCCATGCAAAATATCAATTTAAAAATTAGCCTGCTCTGTTTGGTCAAACATTTAATTAACTCCCCCCAATGTCCTGGCTGGAACTGCAGTTGCCTTGGCAGGGCCAGATCCAATGGTGTCACGGGCCTTATTGTATCACTGTGGGATCAGCACTGGAATGTGAACCACAGGGTCGGTGGTTTAAACCCACCAGCTGTCCTTGGAAACCCTATACAGGGTCGCTATGAATTGGAACCTATGTGACAGCATTTAATACCCACCACCACACAGGACCTGCAGGCCAGCCCATCGCCCTCCCTATCCTATTGGAAAGGCTAATAGAGCTGACACCCCTGCTAATTGTCATGTTCAACAGTTTAATACTGGTTGAGTGCATTTTCCCACCACGTGCACTGATGATTTTGAGGACGGGCCCACACCATCGACAGCTCCTGGAAAAGTGTCTCCACTTTAGGAGCACCGGAGGCTGAGCATGTTCTTGAACGTGTCAGGAGCTGGATGTGATCAGGATTAGGCCTGCAACCCACCTGGTTTCTGAGACAGGGCGCAGGAGAGCAGAAAAGCATGGAGCCCCTGGGACTGCTGTAAGGGTCTTTGGTTTCAGCCTGTGGGGACCGGCCAGGTTCCAGTCAGTGCTACTTCGGATGGGCTGCCTGAACCGGTCTTGCGCTGGCCCCTTCCTGGCAAGGGGCTTTGGCCTTTTCATTACTCATTAGCTCTCTCCCAGAAAGTGGTGGGAAGAGTACATAGTCACTGCACGTTATTTAGTAGCTCTAATGAAGGGCTTGTGCAAAAAGAATTAAACAGAGGTTGTTCATGTTGGTGGGTTTCTAATGTCTGTTTCAGTGATAAAGGGAGGGTAAGAATGTTTCCATAGAGTAGAGCTCTTTAAGAGAGCCTGATGGTGGGTGGGTGCAGTTTTGTTTTTGTTTGTTTATTTGAATTCAGAAGAGGAGCAGTAAAGTCAGATTAGGACCAATGCAAACCCGTTGGTGTCAAGTCGGTTCTAACTCGGCCACAGAGTAGAACGGCCACACAGGGTTTCCAAGGCTGTAATCTGGAAGCACACTGCCACATCTTTCTCCCGCGGGGCTGCTGGTGGGTTTGAACCACAGACTTTTGGGTTAGCTGCCAAGTGCTTAACCACTGCACCACCAGAGCACCTTGGACTAGGGTCAGTATCTTCTAGACCAATAAGGTTCCCAACTTGTAGATGAAAGTCTCTCCATGAGCTCTCAGAAGCTTAGGCAGTAGCTGATACTGACAGCAGGCTGGGCACGACCTAAAGAAATGGGCTTTGTTGGGGGCTGGTGACCCCATCCTGGGACTCCTCAGTAAGAGAGAAGCCCTGCGGAGCCTGCCGCTTTTGAAAAACTCAAAATGCACATTGCTTCTTGTATATGCTTAGACAGCACAGGAAACTTAACAGTAAATACTCCCAGGAAAAGCTTGGGGGGTGGGGGTGGGGGGGAGAGAAACTTTACTGCTCTCTCTTTTCTTAGGGTGAATGTCAGGTAACCCCAATTTACAGCATATTCCTGTACATGGAACCACATAATATTTCACCTCTGGTTAGTTTTTTCTTGTTGGTTTTATTTTACATCTTAGAGTTATTTGTTGATGTGGTAATTCTCAGATCTTCACTCATACATACACCTTCAGTATTATGATTTCTAAAGATACTGATTTTAAATAATAATGAAACCAGAGGGGTAGGGGGGGAAGTATTTGGCTTCGGAAGGAACTGAATTACAACCGAGTAATTGGCCTGGAGGAGTCCTGGTGTGGCACTGTAGGGTAAGTATTGAACTGTTAACTGCAAGGTCAGTGGTTCAAAGCCATTCCTCAGAAACCCTATATGGGGTCTTGATGAATTGGAACTGACTCGGCACTTACCTACTACAATCCTGGTGTGGTGTTGTAGTATATAAGCACTAGACTGCTAACTGCAAGTTCAGCAGTTCAAACCCTATACAGGTTCGTTGTGAGTGTGGATTGACTCAAGCGGCACTAAATACCAACAGTGGGAACAGAGCCCTGATGTAAGGGACTGGCTATGTATTTTTTAAACCATGTGTACCATAACTGTCATGATTTTAAAAATAGCTTTTAAATTCAAGCCCTAAGCTGAAAAAGCGCTGATCTGGTGACGCTTGGAGCCAGGCGCCTTGGCCATTCCTGGGTGGGGATGGGGTCCTGTGTCCATTTGGGAATCTCTGTGCTAGCATGCTGCCTACCTCTGCACTCACACAACCATGTTGAGGAGCTCTGGGGTACAGTGGGCATAGGTGAGTTTGTTGACCAGACTCTAAACGTGGGAAGGCCTGGGGCTCACACTTGTAGAATGATGATCAGTTACTGAACACTTTGAAAATGTGGAACATGTTATTGATACGTGCTATTGAGTCACTTCCAACTCATACTGACCCTGTATACAATAGAATGAAACACCGCCCGGTCCTGCACAATCCTCACAATTGTTAACGTTTGAGCCCATAGCTGCTGCCACTCTTATCAGTTCATCTCATTGGGGGTGGGGGGACTTTCTTTTTTGTTGTTGTTGACCCCCTACTTGACCCAGCATGATGTCTTTCTCCAGGGCCTAGTCCCTTCTGATAAGATGTCTGAAGTGTAAAAGACAACGTCTTGCCATCCTGGCTTCTAAGGAGCATTCTGGCTGAAGTTCTTCCAGTCCAGATCTGTTTGTTCGTCTGTCAGTCCATGGTATTTTTAATGTTCTCCAACACCATGGCTCAGATGCATCAAGTCTTCTATGGTCCAACTTTCACATGCATATGAGGCTACTGAAAATACCATGGCTTAGGTCAGGTGTATCTTAGTCCTCAAACTGAGATCTTTCCTTTTGAACACTGTAGAGAGGTCTTGTGTAGCAGAACTAGCCTAATGCAGTATAGGTTTTGATTTCTTGACTGCTGCTTCTGTGCGTGTTGATTGTGAATCCAAGCAAAATGACGTCTTTGACACTTTCGATCTTTTCTGCATTTATCATGATGGTGTTTATTGGTTCAGGTGTGAGAATTTTGGTTTTCTTTATATTAGGTGCAATCCATACTTAAGTCTTTGAGCTTCATCAGTAAGTACTTTCTCTGTTATCGCAGGTTGTTTAAAGTCTTCCTCCAATCCTGATGCCACGTTCTTCATATAATCCAGCTTCTCAGATTGTGCAGCATGGGCCCCCCTAAAAGGAAGTATACGGTTGTGGGAAAATAGCAAACAACAGTACCATTTCTGCAGAAAAAGTATTTTAATACTTCTATGGTAGTTGTGATGGCCATGGGCCTGGCCATCTGAAAGCCATGCTCCACCCCAGCAATCAGTTCCTGAGCTGCCCACCCTATGTGTGTGGACACCAGCAGAGCCTTTTTCTTTTCCTTGAGCTTCTGGGCAGTTAGAGGGTCCTTGGGTGGTCAGCATCCTGTTCTGCTCACATACCTCACGAGTGCTTAGAAATGTGCTCCTGGAAGCAGTGAGCTCCTGATATGGGCCTTCTGGGTCCAGGGGGCTACCTCATACCCTCGGGCATTTCCTGTGCCCCCTTTGTCCTTTGTCCAGCACCAGTGTTATTTTTCATGAAGTACAGCTTCCAGAATTGAGCATGACATGTATTTCTTGTTTACCACGTGCACTCACTCATTCCATCCGTGTATTGTTGATGCTTCTCCCAGCTAAGGATCAGCATGAACTCGGTCCCACTGAACACCGGGGGCTGCACTTAGCGGCCCGGCCGGTGTCTCTTGAAGAAGGGTAAGGGTGACAGCCAGCTCCCTGGTGGGGTAGCCCGAGGCCCAAGTGTCCTCTCTGAGTGTCACCTGGACCTCCCGGGGTTGCCCCTTATGCTTCCTTCCTGTGATCTTTGTCCCATGGTGTTACTGTTCCTCTGTCTCCAAAATGCTAAGTAAGGTGTGTGGCGCTGGGCTGCCAGGCAAAAGCATGGCCCTGTGGAAGAAAGACTTGGCAGTCTGCTCCCGGAAAGATTTACAGCCTCAGAAATCCTTGCAGCTCTTCTCTTCTGTGCCATAGGGTTGCCGGGAGGACAAGTCAACTTGATGAGTGTTTTGGTTTTGAGGAGGGAGCCCCTCCCCACCACTCATGCCCTCATCCTGGGATGCAAAGCTGGGCTTGCTTAGTTTGTTGTCTTTGATCTTTTCCTCTAGCAAAGGAATCTCCCAAATTATTGGGATTTAAATTTCAAAAGAGGAACTATCAAAATATGACAAGGAGTAATTGTCAAGCTTTGCACGGGTTACAGAACATTGGCATGGGGAAGCTGGGTGGAGCGTGGGGACCACAGACCTGGGCTGGAGTTCTAGTCCTGCCTCTTCCACTAGTCATGGCTCTTAGACAAGGTTTCCAAACTGCTGAAGCTCAGCACCAGTCTGTAAAACGGGATTGTCATTGTTGCTGTTAAGTGCTGTCGAGTTGATTCTGACCCATAATGACCCTGTGTAGGGCTTCTGAGGAGTGCCTGGTGAGCTTGAACTGCCAGTTTTGTGGTTGAGTGTTTCTATGGCGGCTTGTTGCTGGCATTAAGAAAATGATTGAGTCATCGAGTTGGCAGCAGGCCTTGTGCAGGGCTGAGCGAACCCACTGCCACCGGGTGAATTCTGACTCCTCTTGAACCAAAACAGTCTACAGGGGCTGACTCCCTCCTCATTCTTCTGAGGATTGGCTGGTGGGTTTGAACTGCCAACCTGTGAGTCACAGCCCAATGCTTAACTCACAGCCCCACCGGGCTGACAGAGATGGGCCATGAATGTTCCCTACTTTCCCCCGCCCCCCATAATAGTTGAGAAAAAAGGGAAATTGCCCACCTAGCAGCATTGTTTGTAAGTGGGGGGGGCGGAG